CCAATTTTATAAGATGAAAGTACTCTATACGCTTTTGTTTTAATTTGTATTAATTTATGCAAACACGACCAGTAGAGACCAACTACTCTAATATCATCCAAATTGACTGAGGTAGAAAATGTGTTTCATTGGATGCCAACTCAATTGTCTCATTATAATATAATTACCTCTAGAAATGTTTAGACAAGAGGTTAACATTTCAAGAGCTAAAGCGATGAGACTATAATTTATGGATGACCCTTGAGCGACGCTAAACTGACCTCGAGTATGTCCACCTACTAACTAGGACTAAATCAGGGTTATTGTGATTCACAGTTGATAGTTAAGGTTAGCAATGAGATTTAGGGTTTTCACCATGAACTGACATAAACTAAAACAATATTTAAACAAATTCATGACTGAATTTCGCACCGAAATCCAAGACCTGTTATCCTACATCGGATTGGTTTGTTCATAAATTATAGTCTTTCCATTAATGCTCAATAGATACACTGCTCTCAGTTTGTTTATAATGATAAGTTCAACAAACACGTCTAAGTCTTATTGCAACTCAAGATAAGAAATAACTATCCAGTAATGCATAACTGAGTTTGGTTGTATGTGAAATAGTTGACTATGGTGTTTCCATGGGAAATGCTTCATAATCAAACATTGTCACAATTGACGATGAATAAAACTCGCATTGTAATCAAGTTAACAAATATCAGTATGCAACAATTCTCTCTCTGTGTGTCTGTTTGTAGTTGTCAATTCCAAGGTTTGAGTCTTCAGTAGATTGTTGTTAATAAACGTATTATTCTGATATTGTCTTTGTTAATAACTTGGTTTATGTGTGTACTAAGGAATTGGATACACTAAAGGTTGACATATTTATAAAACTTCAATCAACGTAACTTGTTGTTGATCTATTTAAGGATAAATAGATTATTATGTATAATATAATTATGCACATCTCGAATAGGCCAAAGTTGACCTATTTCGCTTGCACGACAGTCAAACTCAATAATGTTAGCAATGGCGACATGCCTTACAATATCCCAATGACAATGGCCCTTGAGAACACTGAAAAGCAACCAGCAAACCAATTTTGCGTATGAACAGTCAGTAAAACTTGATAAACTAAAGTCAAACCATCTAAAATATCAATGCCGAACCTTCAGTCTCATATGAGACCTTCACTGCTACATAGCAATATAGCCCTAAGTAGATTACTTTCCACATAGTAATTATTACTGAAATTTATATGTAAGCATTCTTCAGGAAGGCAGTTTTCAACTTTACTGACCAGTGTCAAGAATTGAAGTGCCATACAGTCATGTTCTTTTCTAGTTTGGGATGGATCACGACACTCGAATGTTGGAAATTTACCTTCGCAAATCAGAAGATAGACGAAAAGCTGGAGAAATGTTTATTTGTTGTGAAACGAAATGTATATGAAATCATGTGTATTTATAGATATTAGCATTTGTTAAATCAACATTATGATTCGGCCAATCCGTAAAGAGATATATTATGCTACTGTCCATTATCAACGTACCATGTTGATATTGTAGAAAGCTCCATCGTGTTCTGATTAGATAGGAACACTTCAGCTCTTTTAGGGCCTCTAGAGGCTCTGTTGTAGTTTTTAGACTCAACAAATACATTTTGCACTAAAATCATTTATCATGTCCATCCACGTTAGAAGATTTTCAAAGTGTCAAACAAAATTCACCCCAAGATTTGAATTTATTCAAATCACCATTTCAACAAGATCCACTTCCTCAAACATTGAAGTACAAGTGGATGTGTGTTAATAATGAGAAGACAACGTTTATCAAAATCATGTGATGATAATAACTTAATACATTTTGAACTGCAATCCGATCAAACATTGATCTTATATTAGAAATTTATGTAAGAAATAGAAGAGGTTAGAGCAGAAAAATGTGGATATGAAAACAACAAAAGGGAAACACATTACTTGTAACATCTATAGTACATGAAAGTCACCAGGGTAGATTTCATTCAGCTACAAATTGTTTTTGAATATATAAGGGCGTTTAGAATGTTCATATAAGTAAGGGTGTTACCGCATCATTATTCACACTTGATCACTTCTGTACAACAATATAAATGATACACATTGTTTAAGTGTTTCGCGAATGTCGTGTATAACAGATACTTGATTGCTGTCATAGATGTTACAATCTAAAACCTGATGAGTTTCACGATGAAGTGTCAATTCTAATTTATTGAATAGAGAGGGATGCTTACATACTTACTTACACCTGTTACTCCTTGTAAAGGAGTGTTATGACCTTGAATTGCTTTACGCCGTGATACTGGTTATGACTTCACCTTGATCTGTCTAGAGTTAACTATGACCTTGACGCGATAGGGTGAGCGGCTTAAACTTGAAATCTATCACGCGTGAGTTCGAGATGAGGTAGAGAGATAACTATTCTAGAACCTGATTGGTTGGCAAGCACGCAAGCGAGAGAAGACACGACAATTGGAACACTGAACTCTGGATTATCTGAATTCGGATTAATACAAAAATGTACATGAATAAATAAGTGAATATCTTGACTACGACGTACAATAATTTGGAGAAATACAGTTATGCCCGAAACAGGGAATTAGGGTGAAAAATACAGTGCAAAATACTATGTTTAAATTACAATATTTTCGGAACAAAAAAGAGAATGCTAGTGAATGATACATAGAACGAAAGCTCGTGTTATGTAGAATAAGATAGAGACAAAAATAAATATAAGTGTTTCACAGGGTTTGAATGAAATGTAATAACGTCCCAAGAAAATAGCTTTCGTAATTGTCTGGGCTTCTTAATTTCCCGTTCATAACAAGGAGCATAGGCCGCTCACCAGCATTCTCCATCCAACCCTGTCCTGAGCAATCCTTTCCAGCTCCTTCCAGTTCCTATTTATCCTTTTCACATCTGCTTCTATTTATCGATGTAATGTCTTCTTTGGCCTTTCTCTTTCTCACTTCCCTTCAGGATTCCAAGTTAGGGCTTGCCCCGTGATGCAGTTTGACGATTTGCTTAGTATATGTCCCATCCATTTCCATCGTCTTTTCCTAATTTCTTCTTCAGCTGGAAGTTGGTTTGTTCTCTCCCACAGAAGGCTGTTGCTGATGGTATCCGGCCAATCGATGTTGAGTATCTTGCATAGACAGCTATTCATAAATACTTGTACTTTCTTGATTGTGGTTGTTGTAGTTTTCCAAGTTTCAGCTCCATACAGTAGAACTGCCTTGACGTTGGTATTGAAGATTCTCACTTTGACATTGGTTGAAAGTTGTTTTGAGTTCCATATGTTTTTCAATTGTAGGAATGCTGTCCTTGCTTTGCCAATCCTTGCTTTCACGTCTGCATCTGAACCTCCTTGTTCATCGATGACGCTTCACAGGTATGTGAGTGATTCTACATCTTCCAGAGTTTCTCCATCAACAGTCATTGGATTGTTGTGCTCCATGTTGTATTTGAGGACCTTGATTTTCTACTTGTGTTGTTGAGGCCTACTGATGCAGAGACTGCTGCTACACTGGCTGTCTTCATCTGCATCTGTTCGTGTGTACGCGACAGGAGTGCTAGTTCATCTGCGAAGTCCAAATCGTCTAATTGATTTCGAGCTGTCCATTGTATTCCGTGTTTTCCTTCAGATGTCAAGGTCTGCATAATCAAGTCGACCACCAGAAGAAAGAGGAAGGGAGAGAGTAAACAGCCTTGTCTGACTCCAGTCCTTACTTGGAATGCATCTGCCAGCTGTCCTCCATGCACGACTTTGCACTGTAGTCCGTCGTATGAGTTCCGGAAAATGTTGACAATCTTCTCAGGAACTCCGTAGTGTCGAAGAAGTTTCCATAATGTCCTCCTATCTACACTGTCGAATGCTTTTTCATAATCAATGAAGTTGATGTATAGTGATGAGTTCCACTCAACTGATTGTTCGACGATGATCCGCAGCGTTGCAATTTGATCTGTGCACAACCGATCCTCACGGAATCCAGCTTGTTGATCTCGAAGTTGGGCGTCTACTGCATCCTTCATTCGGTTCAGTAACACTCTGTTGAAGACTTTACCTGGTATTGACAGCAGTGTAATGCCTCTGTAGTTTTCACATTCGCTCAGATCTCCTTTCTTTGGAATCTTGACGAGGTGTCCTTCTTTCCAGTCCATCGGCACTTGTTCCTCCCCCCAAATCTATTTGAATAGAAGGTAAAGCATGTTTGTGGTTGCTTCAATGTCTGATTTCAGTGCTTCAGCTGGTATGTTGTCGGGTCCTGCGGCTTTCCCGTTCATGATTTGTCTGACGGCCATTCTAATTTCTTCCGTCGTTGGTGGGTTGTCATCAATAGGAAGATCTATGTGTGCTGCTTCGATTAGAAACATAATATTCCTTAATAACGTCATCACATGTAAATCATTACTTACAGCCCTCTGTTTACCATATAAAACTTATCTGAAACAAGCTCACAATAGAATACTTCCATGTAAAAGTCTAATTGCATAACGCCGAAAGCATTTTTTTCCTGGTACTGAACAAGTAAGATTGTAAATGCAATACTGGAATCGCTTGTTTTACAATCTATATTGAATAAAATATCGCGCGCGAAACTGAAGGTCCTAGGTCCCGACCTCGCGAGAGGGATCGTAGATGCGCACTGATGAGTTCCACAATAGGACAAAACGGTCATTCAGTGCTTTCAGGTTTCCAAAAGTGGTCTGACATAAAACGGTTCATGATCTCAATCAAAAATTCAATCATCTCCATAACCCCTATAAAAAAAATCTACTACAACAGTCCGTTTTAATAATTTTCTTTTATGGTTTCTAACTACTCATTAGTAAGCAAAGTGATTCAAATAAAATTATCCGTTCCTTCATCTTGTTTAATTTTTAATGAATCGAAATTTTAACGAAATTTTGTTTCTTTTGTTAAATAAGTCAACAATGAAAGCGCCAGTGACAATTTAACAGGTAAACTGTTTGAAGTAAAATAAGTTTATTTTCTCTGAATCTATTTTTGTTGTGAATTTGTTGTTCAAATCAAAGGAAATAATAACTTTTGTTAACTAGTTTTTCTATGTATAACTCAGTAAAGATTGTAATTTTCAAAAAGTGAACACTTCAGCTATGCCTTTAATCCATGGAACATAATCTGATACACGTGTATATACTCCAGGATAACCTGCTTTACCGCATCCGTAACCAAAATAAATTATTCCACTGACAATCCATTGTTTATTGATTTGACACATTAATGGACCTCCAGAATCAAACTAAGATAAAAGAAGGAAAAATTATGAATGATTATTATTAAAAAATGGTTTCGTGAAGATTTTAATGATTTAATAGTTGAATTCATGTGTCAAATAAAATTAGACCACAAGGGAAAACCTGTAACCACTGAATGACTGTTTCGTCCTAGAACGGGACTCCTCAGGAGTATGCGAGTGGGATCTTGGATGTGTATTACTAAGGAGTCCTATACTAGAACGACGTGACCTTCCAATGCCTCTAGGTTTTCCATGGTGGTCTATTTTTTATGGACTCATGAATTCAACTATTAAAATGATAAATGAATTCATATTTTAAGTTTGTCATCAAATGTTGTGTATTCGCTTGCCTAAATCACATAACATCAATAGTATTCGATGGTTCTAATTCTAATCGAATATGAAAAGTTGCGCATAAATAACTTATTCTTATTATCCTTTATTTAGAGACAGTTAAGTGTACACTTTCTAGTTTCGTTGTGAATATGACAGTAATATAATTGCAAGAGAACAAACTGATCTTGAAAATTACTTTAGGTACTTGTGATAAGGAAACAAGATCAGTAGATCGTCAAAATTATGCTGTATTTTGTTGTCAACACATTTAGAAGGGAAAAAATGTTTTAATGGAAAATTGATTATATAGACACTGATGACTTAAACAGTCTCATTGAATGATGTAATCGGGATCACGACTGCCGAATAATATCAACATTTCGGGTACATACACTCATTAATCCTGTTAACGATAACATATTATCCTTTCAGAAATCATCAAACTATATTACAAAGCTTGCCTTAACTTGGAACATATTCGGCCAAGAAATGGTATTTGGAAACAACTGAAAAGGAGAACTATCAAATTCGAATTTCTTTTATACATTATTTATTTGAATAATTTTGAGATGGTGGAGTAGATTTGTAGCTCAACACCATTTTTCCATGTTCTTACTTTACTTCATGAGTATTGCATTAGTTTCAAAATATCAAGTAAAATCAGTTAGACTCCGGACTCCAACATAGTCGACACATACATAACAGTGACGAAACGTCACCAGAGACGACTGTTCAGACATGTCAGCAGTTAAACACTATATCAAATAACATTATCTTTTGAGATGGTGGAGAAGATTTGTAGCTCAGGTGGATGATTTTGTTGGAGTTTTGTTCGCTGAGGTGAACAGTTTGGTCGTGGAACTTTCATCGTTCTTCTGAACGACATCACCAGCACAAACTTCAGGTAGAAGTGCAGTGTCTCACAGGTTGTCCTGTACCAAATCATACATACAAGGAATATCAGAAACCGCAACCAGACTGCCGAAATCCTTCGGGATAGGTGTGGCACACAAACCAAAAAATCACTACAATCAATCCTATGCAAACCGAAGGATGAAATAACAAAGGAAAACAAATCAAACATCATCTACGAAATAAATTGTATCAACTGCGATAAACACTACATCGGACAAAGCGGACGCCCCCTCCACCTACGCTTACATCAACATCAATTAGCAGTCGAACGGCATGATATCTCCTCGCTTCTATCAATACACGTGGATAACTACGGACACTCATTCCATTGGGAAAATGTAGAAATCTAGACAGAGGAAACTCCAAAAACACAAGAGAATTTTTAGAAGCCTGGCACTCAGGTCAATCAGCGATCAACAAACATATTGAAAACAACCCAATTTATCAACCAATCAGGAAAATCATACATAAATACAGGAACAAAAATCAAACTAATAGGAGACACAAGCAAAACAAAGAAGTAAACAATGACAAATTTAAGGTAAATAAGAACCAATCAACATCGAGGTGCACAGAACGAGCTGTGAAACACATATGGAGAAATTCGAACACTTCACTTCTATTTGAAGTTTGTGCTGATGATGTCGTTCAGAAGAACGATGAAAGCTCCACGACCAAACCATCCAGTTCAGAGAACAAAACCCCACCAATTAGATGATTTATTATAAAATCAAGAAAAAAGTAATTATTCATTACCCGACATGCATCTCTACCACCTTCTGCATGTCCTGCACAAATTACATTACTTTCTATCGTAACATCAATAGGATTTGGTCCATTACGTAATGTGGCATAATTCATTGTACATTGATCATTTGGAACAATTGGTACACCAACATGTTTCAATATTGTAGAAATATTTTTTGCTCCTAAATGAGAAAGAATATCGTAATTAAACTTATTTTAAGCTTTTCATTATGAATCTAAATTACTTATGCAACTTAAATAAGGTAAACTGTATTACAACACAATTAAACAGTGTAAACTAATCTTTAGGACGAAACGGCCGTCCAGTGCTTCTAGGTTTTCCTATGGTGTGAAGCGGTCTGATTTTACTTGTATATAAATCAAATATGTTTGCAATAAATTATTCATGTAGTGGAAGTTGAGATTGGTGTTCCGGATTCAACAGGCATATTCAGGAAGAAATGGAGCAGTCGGAAATTTAGGCTGCCTGGACTGGTATATACATCATTAGTTTGGTCGTATAGATCAGTGTATCTAAATTGTCAAATCGTATTTCGAGATAATCGTATGGCTAAGGATATGGTAGCCGGTGACCAACAATAGGTTCATACGCTACTTGTTCCCTCAGGATTCTGGAGAGCATGTCAACCATTGGTTTGGAAACAGGGTTTTTGAATTCCCAAGTTGGATACGTAGGATCCACCAACCCATTAAAGCCCCGTACATTCGTTTTGATTGAATGAAATCGCTTCGGATCCTTAAGAGCCTTTAGGGACTTATTCGTGCCTTCTGAGAGTCGTCCTAACTAGTAGTTTCGACACACTGTTACTGATAGGATACATAAACACATATACAAAAGCATATCGTTGAGGATTGACAAAACTTCTTGTCAGTTTAAGCTGTTGACATGAAAGCAATTGAACATTAGATGCTGCAAACCCATTTAATTGTTTTTTGTACAAATTTGATGCAACTTCAAAATAAAAAACTAACACAAATATTGTAATGAACGAGAACATCAGTGGGAAAATCCAAATTTATTTTAATACATTATCAAGTTGGTTATTGAAATCTGAGAACCGTACAGTGAATACTTCATTCGCAAAAGATGTCCATCAATTGTCTCAAACATTGTTGTTACTTCGTTTCCACACTATTCACTCTATTCCAGTTCTCGTTTATTTGATCTTAACTTTCTACCATCAGACATTTTCGATGGTTAATACATACTACTTATATCACTCGACATCAGTAATACGCTCACATGGAATCTTCAAGGCCAAAGGAGGAGAGGAAGATCAAAGAACGTATTACGTCGGGAAATGGAGATGGATATGAGAAAAATGAACGAGAATTGGATGGAACTAGAAAAGAAGGCCCAGAACAGAGTGGGTTGGAGAATGCTGGTCGACGGCCTATGCCTATGCGTCACAAGGCAAGCCCTCACATGGAATCTTCAAGGCCAAAGGAGGAGAGGAAGATCAAAGAACGTATTACGCCGGGAAACGGAGATGGATATGAGAAAAATGAACGAGAATTGGATGGAACTAGAAAAGAAGGCCCAATAGTTGATAAGTAATCCCTAACAGTTATCATTCACTTATATATAACAAGCATGATAAAATATCAATTTCAGATTTTAAATAAACCACTTTATATCATTTAAACAAAATAATACAATAATATTCCCATTATATAATGATTCTCCCTCCCTCCCTCATTTCCTCTCTCTCCCTATCCCCTACCACTCTCCCTATATATATATAAACATATATCATTCATAATATTACTTATCATTAATAGATCACATTAGCAAACATTTCAATAAAATATTTATTATTTTAATTGTTCACCTTATAAATAAACTAATAAAATTTCTCTTCTTATTACTTTCTTTTTTCTCTCTTTTTTTCTTTTAAATTCTCGTTTTTTTTCTCTTTTTCTTTATTATTTTTTTCTCTTTATTCGATTCATTTCGTTATTCATTAAAATAGAAAATAATTTTTTTTATAAAAATTTAAAAAAAAAGAAGAAGTTGAGGGTGATAATAATTTTGGTTACAAAAAAGAATGGGAACAATAATAATAATAATGGTGCCCTATTACTTACTTATTTATGAAAGCTGAAAAAAAATGTTTACCAATATCTTATCGGTCAATTTTAGAGAAAATTGAGAACAATCTAATGAATTATAAATTCTAATTACTACTACTACTACTACTGAATATTATTAGTAATATTGTCATTATGTTTCAAATTAATTCAAGGTTATATTAAAAAAAACAATTAACCTATATAAATAATCATGTATATGTATATAATCAAGGATATAAATGTAACAAGAGAATAGTAACATAGGTCACTTTATTTTACGTAGATACAAGGTTTAAAAAGCAAAAAAAGAAAATTATAAATGTTTCTTCTTTTTTTTAGAAAAAAAAATGTTAACCATATATATATCAAGTTTTATTTTGATAAGCCATAGAGATTATTTTAGTTGAATCTAAACAATAGATAATAGTATAATGTCAATAGTGTTTGAATATTAAGAGGAGGAAGGGGGATGTAACCAATATAGTGGGTGGGTGGGGGGTAGGAAGATGGATTTTATTGAAACAATGTCGATATATATTAACATAATTCGAAAAATAATCTGGTTACACCTATACTTTTTAAGGTATATATATATAAAGGTCAATTAGATAAAATGGAAGGTAAGGGGAAATTAAGGCAGTAAGGAAAACAATACGAATTACAATAGACCAGATAATAGCTTAGTGTTACTATAGCAGGGTTAATATGAATCTAAACTGCTTTTGAATAAATATATCAAGAAAAGGATTTGAAACCTTGGTGATTAAAAATTCAATAAACCTCAGTATACGCCCGTGGACATTTGTAAAATACTAGAAAGGCTTATATAATATCAATTCTTTGGTTCATCTCAATTTAATATTTAACAATAGAGGACAATGTTTATTTATCTTATTCTGTGATGTGACAGTTGAGATTTATTTGTTAATGTAGTCCCTGAGACATATTTTGAATGATTCTTACTTTGTATAGGTATATTCATACATACATGAAGTTCCATAGATGTAATGTTAAGTGACACATTGAATCACAGGTAGTTTTAGTTTTCGAGGAAAACAAAAACCTTTGCTTTTCATATAGATGAGTTGAACTGTGCACAATTTCTACTGATGGTTAATTTAAATCTTTGTTTTAAGCATAAAACTATTTGAGTTAAATCTGAATGTCAAGAGGCAAAAGTCATATTTTTTGGATGGCAAAATCACTATCAGTGAGAGTGACATTTCCCAATTTTCCAAGAGTAAGGAAAATGTTTATGTACATCAATTCAACCTTGATTTATATCGAAATATACAATCCTGTTAGTTTTATGATCAATCATAGGTTAAGCTTCTAAATATAACATACAATTCAACAGAGTTTGGAAGATTAGTGTTGCTTACAAAAGAGGACTTTCAAATAGGGTGATGATGGGTTCAAATCCCATGTACAAGATCGTGGATGTTCACTTTTGAGGAGTTCTACACGAGGACGAAATGTTCGTCCACTGATTTTAACTTTACAATGGTTATTTAACGTTAATCGGTTTATGATTTCAATGAAAGAGGATTTTGTTGAATTAGGAACGATAGTAGAATTGAAATCAATGATATAAACGAATTTGACATTAACAGAACAAGTTGTCAGTCATTTGTTCATGGATTATAAATAATAATTCACTGTAAGTAAAAGTTTATCCATAAAGATAATGAAAATTTCACGATTAAACCAATCAATGTAGTGAAAGTGATATCCCTTCTAACTGGAAAAAACACATATCCGTTTCGTGGTTTAACTTAAAAATCAAATGTGCATTTAATAAATGTATAGCATATACATTGTGGAAATCATCAAACTGTATCACAAAGCAAGCCTTAACTTGGAATCCTAAATGGAAACAGAAAAGAGGAAAACTAAAACACAGACATCAAGAAAATGAATAGCAACTGGAAATGATTGTCTAGGACAGTGTTTAATGGCGATTTCTGGTTGGTGACCTATACTCCTCCACAAAGGGTAACAAGCGTAAATAAATAAGTATATATTTAGTGACTAGCTAACATTTTAGTCAACATTTTGATGAATAGAAAATTGAAAAAGATTTATACTTCAGGTGGATACTTTGGATAATGTTGTATTCTGTAAGCTTGATGATTCCATTTTGAAGCCTTCATTTTTAAAAGAAGTTCTGGATTACACAAACACCGGGTTTAACTTCTTATAATCAATTTTACAGTCATTTATGTTTGTCTTCTTTGTTTATTGTTTTAGTGACTTTCATTAACAAAAGTTGTATTTTCAAAGTGTTGTTTAGTTGTACTTAGTTCATGGAATATGTTATTCTATTCTGAGTTCGGTGCAAATATTCAATAGTTACTATCATGAATCGAATTGATCCCAGTGTATATATTTTACTTTAATCGATTAGTAACGTTATTAGTGAAACAGTAACTTAACTAATAACCTAAATGAATGTCACATGATATTCAAGATAAAATAAAATGGAATTAATGTAAACTATTAAATACCAGTTAAATGATTCTGTTGTGTACGAGAACACAGATGAGGACGAACAATTACATTTTTTATACGACACTATAGAGTATCTTGGTAAAATATGAGAAACATACACTGAATACTTTATTTGATAATTTCCATCATTTGTACTTCATATTCTGTATGATTCTTTCGATTCACAATTTCTTTCTAATTCCGCTTCTGTTTTCTTCAAGTCGACGTTCATAGACACCTTCTGCCAGGTTTTACACTTCCTATTCGTGTTACATACTACTTATATCGACAGACATAAGCAGCATACAACATAATTTAACGTTCTCGATAAATCAAGGTTATCATAGATCAATCCCATTTGAAATTATTCATTAGCACTGAGCTCACACACACAAATATCTGTACACTTTCGAATTTCTTCCATAACTACATTTCTATCCTATAGTTTTAGAATTAGCCTTTCACCTAAGAAATTTCATCAGTCTGGTATTTATACATATCAGAAGGGGTTTTGTGGGGATTGTGGGACTCCTCAGTAGTGCGCATCCACAACCCCACCTCGCGGGATTCGAACCCGGGACCTATCAGTCTCGCGCCAGGCGATTAAACAACCAGACCACTGAGACGGTATACATATAACTATTGATATATAAAACAAGCAAAATATTTTGTTTTAATTGATGACCCAGTAATTACGTAACATTTGATAAAGAAAAATTCGTAATTGACTCATTTTCATCAAAAATAAAAATAATTACGGTTCATTAACTGAATTAATTTGTTATAGTTTAATAATTGTTAACAATGTATATTAACAGAAGGGGTTTTGTGGAGGTTCAGATCATGAGTCAATTGAAACTAGACCACCATGGAAAACCTAAAAACTTTGAACGGCCGTTTCGTCCTAGTATGGGACTCCTCAGCAGTGCGTATCCACGGTGGTCTCACTTCAATTAACTCATGATTTCAACCAGTGAAATTTCTAAAATCTCCACAGAACCCCTTTTGATAATAATCATCTGCTCACTAGTGACTGACTTCAAGATATACTTCTGTAGTTCTAGTGACAAGCCGTTACCCGTGGAGTTCAACCAGGTTGGTTGTGAGATATCAACTCACAGAAGACAGTGGTGTACGGTGGTGCAAATTCGTGGATTGGTTGAAGCTAGACATTTTCACCGTTGGATGCCAGCTGACTCAGTGATTTAATGGTTAAGTGCTCGCGAGTGAAACCAGTAGGTCATGTGTTCGAATCTCGCAGGGGGCGAGGTCGTGGATGCGCACTGTTGAGGAGTCCCATACCAGGACGAAACGGCCGTCCATTGCTTCCAGGTTTTCCATGGTGGTCTAATAATGTGAACTGTTTATTTATTCGAATGTTATTATGGTTGAAATGACAAGAAATCTAAGAAACACTTCTTTAATGAACTTAGACAAGTATTTTGTATTTACAGATATACCAAAACAAGATTGATATTCGTAATTTGTAGTATATAAGGTAGTGAAGAGTAGTTTATAACATGTACTATGTGAATAGAATGATATAGAGAAATCTTTATTGATTTATATAAGTGTTTTTTAAATGATAGTCTATACCCTATTCAAATGTTAAAAAATTTAATTTCAGTTCCGCATATCATCATCATCATCACCCGAAATATCTACTTTATTCAATAGTTTCCATGGCTGTTTCAGTTAGAAATCATAAATCCTGAGATGAGAATGGAAACTATCGATTGAAATACGTATTTTTGATGATTTCTAATTAAATATGTGATTATTTATCGGAATTCTAAACTCAATGAGAGAGATATAATTGATTACTTATATTACCTTGAAGTTAATGATTACAAAGAGAAGTCTGGTAATGTGTGATACTCCCGGTTATTGATATATATATATAATTTCCTAAATACTCAATCATATATGTTTACAGAATCCACATAACGCCATGTCATTAACATTAAATCTATTGAGTTAAGTGGGAACGATTGATTGAATAAAATATATTCTCACTTGTTTTCAATTCATTTGTGAATAGAGTACTTCAAATGATAATTATTATTGAGGTCAGTTAATTTGTCAACGTATATATCAACAAATATATATTGTGAAACATAGTTTAGTTTGTATAATTGATTGATCATTGGGTGGTGATCAGTGTCATGTATATTAGGTCCTTCTTAGTACAGATCAAATCTTATCGATCAACTAAAATCTTATCTTAATATAGTGAAGGCAAGTTAAAATCACCTAGACTGGTGATCACATTGCAACTTGGTCAATAGGATTCAATCTTCACTGAAAAGAGCCTGACACTCATGACATTGATTATCACACAGTAATCAATCAATTGTAAATAAATCTCAACCCTAAAGAAGGTTAGTCACAACTTGGATAGCTCAGTGGTAATGTCTCTGATTGTGAAACTGGGTGACATGTTAGTAAATCCGCCGGGGATTATCAGTCCCCTCAAGATTACAGGTACACCTTGCTAACGAATGCCAAGTATCATGAAACCTAGGTTCAAGGATTTCTATCGAAACATCATCTTAGTTTAGTTTATTATTGTCTGTTTCTGTTGTCATTGGCATTATTCATTAAAGAGATCTTTTCACTTCAATATTATTCTGATTACTTGTAAATGAAATAATTTTTAACAGGATACTTACTAGAAAAATGTAATGAAATCTAAATAACTTCAATATTTCCCTCAATAAGCTTATTTAAACTTCTTGACGATAATAGTCAAAACTAGTAAATATCAGTAGGGGATTTTGTGTATATTGTAATAATTTCAATAGTCGAGATCATGAGTCAATTGAAACTAGACCACCACGGAAAACGTGGAAGCACTAAAGAGCCGTCTCGTCCTGTTGTGGGACTCCTTGCGCGCAAAATTGATAGGTCCTAGGTTCGAGTCTCGCGAGACGCACTGCTGAGGAGTTCCACACTAGAACGAATCGACCGTCCAGTGCTTCCAGGTTTTCAATAGCGGTCTAGCTTCAATTGACTCATTATCTCAACTACATAGAAGAATCTCAAATAACCTTATTCAGTGTAACGTTGGAATTAACTACATTTCATTCAATGAGACTACTTTTTAATATAATTTTTATATATCAGTTTATCCAAATGTTCTTCAAACTTTAGTTAAGTAGAGCAAAATAGAGCGAGAAAGAACAACATTTCATGTATCACATTAAGGAACACCTTTTTGGTATTTCCTCAAGTTTAAATAATAATAATACTGAGAGGAAGGTAGATTCATATTTAATGAAATGTATTCAGCAAGAAAAAATATTGGATAGTAATTCAGTAGTCGGAAAGTGATGCATTTGGGACAAAGGTTAATTTCTTGGATTTAATCCCTAGTGGAATTGTAAATGCGTAATACTAAGGAGTTTCATATTAGAGTGAAAAAATCTATCAAACACTTCGTGATTTTCAGTAGTTATCTGACTAATGTTAGGACATGATACAAAAATCTCAAAATATATGTCGAAAGGTCGATACTATCATCCTTTATGAACAATCATCGTTCGAAAATGAACCATAATACAATCTTTGAAACTTGTGATCAGAATGTATTTAAGACGGAACTCTGAAGGGTAACAAATAAAGAGAGGAACCAAAGAACATACTGAGTTTTAATTTGGAAGCAGGCATGAAAAGGATGAATAATAACTGGAAACAACTGGAAAGGTTCGTACAGGATAGAGGTCAGTGGAAAGTGTTTTTGGGTGGCCTGTGCTTTTCCAAGAGTGTAACAGGCGTAAGCAAGTAAATGATGTGTAACGGATAGCTTACATTCAATTTATAGAAAACAAAATTGCAATGTGGATTATTAGTTCAATATCTGAATATCTTGTAATGAACATATTAAATAGCATAATATTGAATTTAAGGATAATAACTAAAATTCACTTAACTTATAATATGATCTATTGTAATGAATAGGAGAATATTCTTACGTCGTAAAGCGTGGTTAATCTCTACAGTTTTACAGGATGTCTAAGAACAAAACAACATTATCATAAGCATGACACTCTTCTTATATAATACTAGTAATTAAGAATTATAACCATTTTTAGACTTATGGGATATGAGATATACATACGGATCGATTAGCTACTAGTAACCATTATTAACAAGGTTAGCTCACTATCTAACATGGAGTTATTTACTCGGTTTCCAGTTCTACTCTAATTATGAGTGTTTGCACAACTACTCAATTATCCAAAATTACAATTTACTGCTTCAAAGAAGAAAGCTTTAATCACTGAACTTAAAAAAATATTCACTTGGCAACAACTGATATTATATTATCTATTGTTCACTATTAATGGAATTCAATCATCTAATTCTAAGTCTATTCATTTAGTTAGCAAGCAGTGTCAACTTCTTCAACAAAAGAACACATTCACCCTATGAACAAATATCAAAGCAAAACTTGGCTTGTTTGTTGTTCCTATTGTATTCAACAGTATTGCATCAATGATTTTACATTGTCTAAAAATCATCATAAATCAGTAATTAGTTTATTTCAGTGTAAAAACATCACCGTATAGTTTTAATATTTAAAAAGGCATCACTAATTGCATAAATAACTGTCATTTATATTTTTCCAAAATCGATAATAATCCTCACAGGATGCACATATGCCAATGAGAGACTGATTATTTTCAGTCCTAAACATCGATTGGAAGATTGAAGCAAACAATAGCAAATGAATTTAAGATCCACCCTATCGCACAAATAAATGGTGATTAGGACCCAATTACTAAGTGGATAACGTGATTATGTTTGCAGCGGACGATAATGGGTTTGATTTCTAAAGTGACTATGGAATAAACATCAACCCTGGCATGAAGGCCTATCCATCTGACGAATCTCAAATAGGACGAAACGTGCGTCTTGGATTCCACTACTAGCCACCATCCATCTCTATTTACAATGCTTGTGAATTAAAACAATGTCGAGACATTCTGCATAGGATGCACATATGCCAATAAATGACTAATCAAATGAAATTCTAAACATCGATGGGAAGATTCGAACAAACAATGCAAAGTGAACTTACTTTTGTTCTTCGAGAAATTGTACTCAGTTGTAGAAATTTCAGAATATTAATATTTACTGAGAAGCATAAGAATTAGTTTCTTAATTGAATATTTCTATATGTAAATCGTGTAATCGTGTAATAAATACATTTCATTTATAATTATCTCCTTATATACGTTTTTGAAAAAAAGGATTAGCCAATCAGATTCGTGTCATTATTTTGCTTCGATGTGATTGGTTAATTAATACATATATGGTGGTTCTCGAATAATACATACTGTTATCCATCCACTTATCTATTCGTCTTTCTGACCATATACATGTATAGACTTCATATTATAATTAGACGAAAAGATAGCTCAACCTCATAGTTTCTTAGAAGAATTATTATTCTCTACGTTAATACAATTCTAGGAATAGCTCTGTAGGTAATTTTGCTACCGTTGAAAGAAAAGCTCAGTTGAAATTTTGTGTATATAGTGATAGTAGACTTAATTTTTGTAAGAACGTCTAGTTGACTATTTAGAAGACGGAAGGGACTTTTTTTCCTTTAGGGTATGAATAAGTTATCTAAACTTATTTGAAGTTTGTTGTCACATAATCTCAGATTTTTCTGTATAATATCGTTACTGTAAGACATAGTAGAAGAAATGTACAGGCTGTTAGATATTTCAAACAACTGGTTCCTTTCATGAATTTGAATAAAGTTAGGACAACAACTGAGACAGAATAATATGAATTCATTCTATTTGTGGTGGACCAAACAATATATGAACTTAAAAATAGTAATAAAGCTATTGAGTACAAACAGTAATATTATAATATATCAATTAAACGTTATAAACACAATAAAAATTTATGGACGTTAATTAGGTCAGCTGGCTTGTGCGTGTTCAGATTGTGTTTGGTATCAGAATTCACAATTATAGATGATTAATGATCCCAATAAGATTGTTGTGCTTCCAGTGATATAGCTCAACCTCGAATATAACGTGACCGTGTCTACAGTCTATAAATGTAGACAGTAGATGGTTTAGAGTTCAATTATCGCAACTACGAGCACTAGAGAACAAGAGGTTTGTGTTTAGTAGTATATTTGCTAACAGTTAACAGCGTGTGTCATGCTATACGTGTAACACAACGGAAGAATGTGTGTTCATGATCATACACTTCAACAACATGTACAGTCATTTTGTGGTAAATGTACAGACTGTAAAAATTAACCAAATAAATGCAAGTAATATCAAAAACTATTTACAAAATAAGTTTGTCATGCCTATCTTCACATATTTTGTGGTTTCTTATCAGCTGCTTACAACACGTACATATTAAAAGGTAAGAATGAGATATGATATGATGTGAACCGATTGACATTCATGACGGAGAGAACTACGATGAAAAGGATTATCAATAATAACTGTATATATATGGCTGTGTAAGAAGAGATGTCATGTAATTTGGAGATAGAATTCGAAAACATATGGGGTTAGGTGAGGTAGTAATCGAGTGCGGTCCACAAATATTTAAGATAGATTGTGTGTTAATTTTAGAGGTTGTGAAGTATTCACATAAGATTACTGAGATCAAAAATGGATAAAATGGGTTGTTCAATAATTCCTCCTCCATAATTCTGTTTCTGAACCTCATTTAATTACTGCTTCACCGAAACCCCTATATTTTTTAAATCTATTTCAAAATTACCGCACATCTGTTATTGCACAGAAATATATATACAGTTATTATTGATAATCCTTTTCATCGTAGTTCTCTCTGTTTGTTTGTTTACTGTTTGTTGATTACTGATATCTTCACAGTATCGTCCGCATAAATTGGAACAACCAAATGGGCAATGTTGAGGTTAGGCATAGATTATGTATCAACGAATGTGAATAGGTTAGTGAAGTTCGAAATTTTTATCGACTGAAGTGTCATGGACATTTATTATGTACGTTAGCCATTGCCTATCAAGGAGAGCAATGTCAACTGGTAAATTGTGAGAAGGTTAGTGAAGACCATACTAAGACGTGGTATTAGTCGATGTAGTCAATGATTGACTGTTGAACTGATCCACCTTTATAGATGCATACTAATCGGTTAGGGTTATTTAGTTAGATAACCACAATCAGTAACTGAAGTTCTTAGGAAGTATGATTCAGAATCGATCGAAATGTTGCACTCATTTTTAAGTTTTCTAACTATACTCTGTGTAATCAGTCTTCTCCATTACCACTTTTACTACATAATTTCGATTTTATTTACTACTTCATTTATTTATGTGGTAACAGCAACTCGATCCAATGCATATTTGCACCGTGCTCTAAGTTAATGATGACTGACTGATGAAAGTGAAGGTTTCAATTGGTTGAATTCAGATTAAAATCTCTCTAGTTAAGTTAATTGATACTGACGTAATGGAAAGATGAAATAACTTCAGCCAATATTTCTCTTATCGATTTAGTGTAAATTTCGTTTAACATAACATGCGTAAGCTTTCGTTCAGTGAGACAATTATAGCTCTTGTATCAACTCAGTGTGTATGGTATTACAGTAACATATGTGATGTATATGACACCATTAAGTGTCTAGAAATCATTATAGAAATGATTGTACTTCACTTTAAGAATGGTGTGGTTTCAGGCTTTGTTTGATGGGAGGAAGAGAGACAGAGTAAACAAATTCACATTACACCACCATTTTTCCATGTTCTTACTTTACTTCATGAGTATTGCATTAGTTTCAAAATATCAAGTAAAATCAGTTAGACTCCGGACTCCAACATGGTCGACACATACATAACAGTGACGAAACGTCACCAGAGACGACTGTTCAGACGTAGCTGCAGTTAAACACTATATCAAATAACATTATCTTTTGAGATGGTGGAGAAGATTTGTAGCTCAGGTGGATGATTTTGGTGAAGTTTTGTTCTCTGAGCTGGATGGTTTGGTCGTGGAGCTTTCATCGTTCTTCTGAACGACATCATCAGCACAAACTTCAGATAGAAGTGAAGTGTTTGAATTTCTCCATATGTGCTTCACAGCTCGTTCTGTGCACCTCGATGTTGATTGGTTCTTATTTACCTTAAATTTATCATTGTTTACTTTTTTGTTTTGGTTGTGTCTCCCATTGGTTTGATTTTTGTTCCTGTATTTATGTATGATTTTCCTGATTGGTTGATAAATTGGGTTGATTTCATTATGTTTGTTGATCGCTGATTGACCTGAGTGTCAGGCTTCTAAAAATTCTCCGGTGTTTTTGAAATTTCCTCTGTCTAGATTTCTACATTTTCCCAATGGAATGAGTGTCCGTAGTTATCCACGTGTATTGATAGAAGCGAGGAGATATCATGCCGTTCGACTGCTAATTGATGTTGATGTAAGCGTAGGTGGAGGGGGCGTCCGCTTTGTCCGATGTAGTGTTTGTCGCAGTTGATACAATTTATTTCGTAGATGATGTTTGATTTGTTTTCCTTTGTTATTTCATCCTTCGGTTTGCATAGGATTGATTGTAGTGATTTTGTTGGTTTGTGTGCCACACCTATCCCGAAGGTTTTCAGAAGTTTCTGATATTCCTTGTATGTACGGTAGGGTGATCCTTTTGTTGATCACCCTACTATGATATCTATTCACTTATATCAATACACGTGGATAACTACGGACACTCATTCCATTGGGAAAATGTAGAAATCTAGACAGAGGAACAAAACTCCACCAAAACATTATTTTTTTAATGGTAATATATTCTTGAGTTATGGGAACTTAAAAAGTAATCCATTGATCAGTGAAGACAATCACATAGATTACCTATAGAAATTTAGTCGAGTATCAATTGCATACTGGCTTTAAACTGTCATTTCAGTAATGATAAATTCACGTATGTTACATTTTTCTTATACAAACAACTAACAAACAGTTATTCATCCTTGATATGATTCTCTACAAATTTTTGTATTGTTATTATTTATTTTTGAATTGCCATAAATCAAATGTGTATGCATCACGCGATTACTGAATGGTATGTTGGATCGTTTCTTCCTCTCTCTCTCGCCCACTCACTCAGGCGCATACCCACTAACTAGATGTTAGACTAAACCTAGTAGTAAACAGTCAACTGTTTTTGATACTTTCTATCTCTCACATTTGTTTTCTTCATGTCACGTAATCACATTTAAAAAGTATAGTTCAGTTGAATGAATTCAAATACAATTACCGTTATCATAACACTAGGGAAATGGGAATGCCTACAGTGGACTGTATAATCACATTTAATATTGACTACTTTGAAATTTTACTAATGACAGTTTAGTTTTTCCAATCTGATCACCAAACTATATATATGTCGTAGTGGATGCTACCTACAAGATTGTTTGTAAGTAGTGTCTAGTGGAAGGTGACGTCAATGTTACTACAGTTGTCAGACAAAGTGCATTGAAAGCGCGGCGTTGGCGTGAAACGTGGAAACTAGACTAGAAGACGGTTCAGAATGAATAACACACCAAAAGATGTAAACGGAAGATTGAATGCTATGTATATTTATTATGCAAATACTACGTAATGTCTCGCAATGAATACAAATTTCGCCTACATACTGACTAGTTTTACAACATATTTGGTATAGTTTGTGAAGAAATAATTAAATGATTTAGTCAGCTAGTTATATCTGTTGTTTCTAAAGAGTTAATTGTATGGTACTGTAAATATGTGTACACACGGTAAATTATTTATTTATTGATGTTCAAATTATACAAATCTGACTGTATATCAATCATATAAGAAGTGATGTGTTTATAGATTGTTTTGATTTACTTCGAGGGTCAGATAAATTTATATTACCAGCCTTTATGTTCCCACTATATGTCATCGAATTCAGGTCTTTCAACACTAAGTATAAGTCAGTTAAGCAATTAACAGGTAATAACAGGGACAAATATATCAGTATGTTAACCGCAATTAGAATAGGTTTAAATTATCCCGTTGTTGACATTCAGGACAGATGTCTGAATAGTATTTATTGATATATGTTCATTCTGGGCATTTTTTTTCTATGGTGACACTTCAGGCAGAAGCAAAAAGAGGAGGTTTAGGGTTGAAAGTTGA